TCATGTGCAATTTTAAAGGGAAGAGCAACAAACTTTCAGTTTGCAGGGCTGGGACTGTTTGCAGCTGCAAAATTTAGAGAGGACATCAATCTTTTATTATCCACATTTTACAGCTGGGGAAAACAATGCTAAGAGAGGAAATTCATTTGCCCAGGGGCGCACCACCCCAGTCTCCAATGTGCAATTCATACAATTGTGATTTCTGACCTGGTCCCAAACTGACCCTAAAGTTTGCAGGCCAGAACGCTGCTGCTCAAATAAGTCAGCTTAGTCAAATAAGTCAGGCAAAGGTCGTGTCTTTTCACCTGGAGTCCTGGCCAGGCTGGTAGGTCCCTCCTCCTGGGACAAGTTCACCCTCAGACTTTTCAGCAAGATCATCTCCCACAGCTTGTTAATTGGTTCTTGGTTCTAAGTGTTTTTTCTTTCTTTGTTCGTTTGTTTGTTTAAGAGATGGGGGTCCCACTTTATCACCCAGGCTTGAGTGCAGTGGCACAATCATAGCTTGCTGCAGCCTCAAACTCCTGGGCTCAAGTGATCCTCCTGCCTCAGCCTCCCGAGTAGCTGGGACCACACGCACATACCACGATGCCTGGCTCTAAGTGGCTTTAATGGGGTCCTTCTGAGGGATGTTGGAGTGAGGGCCTGGGGGGAGTTCCCCAGGCCTTCTGGGAGGCCTGGGCTCTGGCCTTGACCTCGCCTGCTGTCTGGGCCTGCTGAAAACAGAAAAACATGGAAATGGCAGACCTGACAGAATCTGGGCTGTGGTCAGGATGTGGCTGAAGAAGCCACAAGAAAAACACTCAGTCCCCTTTCAGCCGTCATGCCCAGCAGTCGGGCGCCGATAACGGGGCTGATTTCCTGTAGGAAGCCCTGGCTCTCTTGGCCACATGGACAGCAGGTCGGTGCAGCCTGAGTGCTCCCCCAGCCCCGGTGTCCAACAACCCCAGCACCCGCCCCATCCCAGGCATCTTCCAGGGATGTCTCCCAGGACCGTGGGGTTTAGCACATCTCAAATGGAGCCAACTATCTTTCCTCAAAGAAAAATCCCCACTAGGCCAGGCATGGTGGCTCATGCCTGTAATCCCAGTACTTTGGGAGGCAGAGGCGGGCAGATCACTTGAGCTCAGGAGTTCGAGACTAGCCTGGTTAACATGGTGAAACCCCGTCTCTACTACAAATACAAAAAAACTAGCCAGGCGTGGCCAGGCGTGGTGGCTCATGCCTGTAATCCCAGCACTTTGGGAGGCCGAGGCAAGTGGATCATCTGACGTCAGGAGTTCGAGACCAGCCTGACCAACATGGAGAAACCTAAACCTCTCTACAAAAATACAAAATTAGCTGGGCATGGTGGCACATGCCTGTAATCCCAGCTATTCAGGAAGGCTGAAGCAGGAGAATCGCTTGAACCCGGGAGGCAGAAGTTGCGGTGAGCCAAGATCGAGCCACTGCACTCTAGCCTGGCCAACAAAAGCAAAACTCAGTCTCAAAAAATAAAATAAAATAAAATTAGCCGGGCGTGGTTGCCCACACCTGTAGTCCCAGCTACTGGCAAGGCTGAGGTGGGCAAATCAGTTGAATCTGGGAGGTAGAGGCTGCAGTAAGCCGAGATCGCGCCACTGCACTCTGCACTCCAGCCTGGGTGACAGAGCAAGACTCTGTCTCAAAAAAAAAAAAAAAAAAAAAAGGAAAAGAAAAAGGAAAGGAAAGAAAAGAAAGATCCTCGCTATATGTCCATGTTCAAGCATTATCTTCCCATCCATCTGCCCTGAGCCACAGGCCTGGCAGGTGGCATGCGCATCCATTGAGCACCTACTGGTTACCAAAGCACTTTACTGGCATCTTCTCCCTGGCCACTCCTGGAGAGGCTGGCCCTGTTATTCCCCTTTACAGATGAAGAAACAGGCTCAGAGAGTTTACTTGGTATCCTGGAGTCCCAGGAGCACTTTTTCTGAAAGTTGAAGCCTGTTTCCTGCGGGTGCCAGGACAGAGTCCAACACTGTTTGTTGACTGGGGTATCCTCTCACCTGGGCTGTGTGTGCCTATCCAGTCCCCCAGTTTTCAGCTGGCTCCAGTCTCACCTGCTGCTCACACACCTTCCATGGCTCCCATAGTCCCCTCGGTGGGGACAGGGGCACTGGATGAAGCCCTGCTAGTCACCACAGAGACACCTGAACACAAAACCAAGTCCCTAGGGTCAGACCCAGGCCCTGCCCTCCCTCAACTGTGCAATCTCAGTTTCCCCAGGTGGAGACTGGACCAACAATGATGGCCTCTGCCTCTTCAGGTCATGGTACAGATGAATACTATGGTCTAGGCACTCAGTAACACACAGCAGAAGCACAGGGACTTAAGATGGAGTCTCCTAGGCAGCCACAGTTGGCTGGCACTCAGTTGGGAAGGGCCCGAGGCCTTTTAAAGCAGGGTTGAAAAAAAAGCCCACCTCCTTTCTGGGAAACTGAAACTGAAAGCCTAATTAATCCTCTGCCTGTAGGTGCCTCATGCAAGAGCTGCCGGTCAGAGCACTTCCTGGAACTTGCTATTGGTCAGGACAGCTCCTATGCTAATAGGGGGTGGCCCATAGAAGATTCCAGTACCCTCCCCTAACTTCAGGCCAGACTCCCTTCAGCTAGAGGGGAGATTTGGATGGCACCTATTTTGTATGACTATTGCAAAATGCCCATGGGTGACACTGGGAAGGAAGACGGGGACAAGCGCTGTAAACTGGTGGTAGGAATTCTGGGGCTCCTGGTCATAGTGCTTCTGGGGGTGCCCCTGATTTTCTTCAGCATCAAGGCCAACAGCGAGGCCTGCCAGGATGGCCTCCGGGCAGTGATGGAGTGTCGCAATGTCACCTATCTCCTGCAACAAGAGCTGGCCGAGGCCCAGCGGGGCTTTCGGGATGCAGAGGCCCAGGCTGTCACCTGCAACCAGACTGTGGTAAGCACCTCAACTCCTTTGGCTGGCCTAGTACTAGGGGGTAGGGAGGACAATAATCTCTCCCCAGAAATCTGACACAGGGTGGGTCTCCAGGGAGATGCAAGGGAGGTCCCAAAACTGTTCCTGGGCCCCCACATCAAGGGACCTAGGTTCCCCTACCAGAGTATGGGGGCCTCTAACCCAGTCCAGGACACTGGTGTAGGGGCAGGGTGTTAAAACTCTCCAGAGCCCCCAAATCAGGGACCTCAGTATCCCCCCCGGGACTTAGGTGAGTTGATAAATTCTTTCCAGGGCACTGGTGTCGGGAGCCTTGAAGCTCCTAGTGGGCACCAGTCCTGGGGGAGTAGAAACCCCTATTCAGGGTTGAAGGGGGACTTCACCAGACCCTGAAAAAGGGGGCTTTTGAAATTTTCACTTCATCACTAAGAAACTGAAATATTCACCTGGGTCCTGATATGGGGGATCTTGAAACTCTTGCTGAGCATGTCACTTGGGCTGGGAAATCCCACTGCGTTCTGGATTTGGTAGGGCCCTCTAACTTTTCTTGAGCCATAGACCAGGCAATCTGGAAACGTCTACTAAAGTGTGGTTATCGACAGCCTCCAACTTGCCATGTGGGGCGGTCTCAAAACTCCCATTTTCAGGACCCACATGCTTATGGGTGGCCCTGGGAGAGTATGTGGTTGTGGCTGTTCTTTAAGGTTGGAGAACATGGTGCAGAGAGGGTTGGAAGAAAACCTGAAAGGGTTTGCATTTAAGGGCAGCAGCCAAACTTCCCAGGCCAGAACCCCAGATTCTGACTCTTCTTAGATGGTCCTAATGGCTTCCCTGGATGCAGAGAAGGCCCAAGGACGAAAGAAAGTGGAGGAGCTTGAGGGTGAGAAACAGAGACGGAAGAGGGCTGGGGAGGGGTGACTCAGCTATGGAAGAGGGGGTGGGGGCAGGGAGACCAGGGCTGGAGGTTGGGGGAAGGGGGAGGTCCTGTCCCAGAGTGGGGCCGGGCCCCAGCATGGCCACGTGCTGCCCCGCCCCCTGATTCTGTCCTCCCACCCCACCAGGGGAGATCACTACATTGAACCACAAGCTTCAGGACGCGTCTGCGGAGGTGGAGCGACTGAGGTCAGAGATAACCTTCCCCGCTACCCTCCACCCGCCACACTCCTCTCACCCCCACGTCCCTACCCCGAGACCCAGAATCTCTCCTTTGCTCCCAAAATCCCCATTGCCCCAAGGGGTAAGGTTTGAGTCCCACAAAAGGACAACTTAGCCCCTAGGGTCACAGAGCCATGGGTGGCCCCAGTCCATTCCCTCCCCAGTGACTTGGATTGGGGCGGTGCGGGGGGAACTCCCGGGGGCGATGGGCTTACAGGGAGGGCGGCAGGAGCCAGGACGAGCAGATGCCTGATTTGCCCCCATTTGCACCGCAGAAGAGAAAACCACGTCTTAAACGCGAGAATCGCGGACACGGACTCCGCCAGCTCCCAAGACTCCAGCTGCGCGGCAGAGCCCCCGCTCCTGATTCTGCTGCTGGGCTTGAGCGCTCTGCTGCTGTGAGATCTCAGGAAGCTGGTCAGTGAGGAGGGGGCGGCCCCGGGAGGGAGAAGAAAGCTGGGGAAGGGGGTCGGGGAAGCAGGGACTCCGAAGTCTGGAGAGAGGGGCTGCAGGGGGAGGGACTGGGTGCAGAGGAGAGGGGCCTTGGGGAAGGAGGGAGAATCCAGTGAGAAGGGCGCCCTGGAGCGGGGGTGGGGCTTATAGCAGTATGGGGCGGGGCTATGAATGAGGGCGGGGCTATCGATGGAGGGGAGGGGCTTATGGATGGGTGGGGTGGGGCCAGTGTCTGCTGCCTCCAGTCTGCCCTGAGTCCCTCTTCTGGTCCTTTAGGTGTATTTTGGAAGATCCGGTTCCTGCTCGACTTTTCGCCTGGACATGCCCTTGATCTCATCGGTTCTGAGCGGGTCATGGGGCAGCACGGTTAGCGGGGAGGGCACGGGGTAGCCGGAGAAGGGTCTCTGGAGCAGGTCTTGAGGGGCCATGGGGCAACCCTGGGTGTGGGGACACAGTCGGGTTGACCCAGGACTGTCTCCCTCCAGAACTAGGCAGGGAATGAGTCCCCCCTCTTGTTTCCCGTCCTGAGATTGGGCATGGGGTGCGGTGCGGGGGGCACGTGCTGCCTGTTGTTACGGGTGTTTTATTATTTTGCGGGGGGTGTGCTTTTTCTGGGGTCTTTGTGCTCCAAAAAATAAACACTTCTTTGAAGGGGAGCACACCTTACTCTCGAGTTCCTGAAGTGTCATTGTGTTAGTCCCTAAGCGTTGGGGCCGCCCCTGCCGGTGAGAGTGGACTCCCCGTTGATGACAACACCTCCCTTCCCTGCTCCAGGACGTTTTCAGGAGCCCACGGAGTTCGGGGAGGCACCACCCCGGTTCCTCCCAGCCCTCGTCTCTGCTGGGATCAACATAAGGACTGTACACCCTCATCAGGGCTCCCCGTTTCCCAGGTGTTTTATTCTCATCTCCTCCCTAGAGCCTCTCCTGATTCCTGGGGATCCAGTGAGGAAACTGAAGCTGTAACTGAGAGTAACGTCGCCTTGCTTCCCCTCCGACCTGCAGAAAATGCTGGGCTGGGATTTAAACTGGGATCTGTACACACACAGGCCATGCATTGTCAGAATGTGTCCCCCTCCTTCATCCCCCAAACTTTCTCTCTCTTTTTTTTTTTTT